ATAACTTATGTACTCTAGCGCTACAACCCTTCATTTCATTTGTTTTAATTTGCATTTATTTTTGAAATCAGTACCTTTCACGGATTTTTTAATTTATCTAGTTTCTATAGCCGTTGAACTACCAATWTTGAATGCATTTCTACTGTTCAGTGGTTGAATCCTCGGAAAAATATAAAAATGTAGATTTTTCTATAGTTAACTAACTATAATTTTTTTACAAAAATAAAATCTGAATTATAATTTTTAATTTTAAGACGTTTTTCTACTGAAACAATGGAAAAARGCTCTTGATAGTTTTTAAACAACTGGAAATGCTACTAGATGAAAAAATGTTAAAACATTGGAGGAAAGAATGGAAAAGGCACGATTTTCTTGTAGAACTATCTATAAGGGTCCTATAATCACAAAGCAACTTATCTTAATAAGATATTGATACAATTTCTTAGGTTTGGTATGAAGTAAATGACGTCACTCATTTAAAACATTGAAGTAAATGACGCCATTTACTCTATTATTATTATTATTATTTTTTACTTTTAAGAAAAATTTTTCTCTACTTTGGGATRACTGAGGTAAAAATTTCTCTCTGAGAAGGAATATAGTTATAAATGAGTTATGTATTTGAATTACACAGCGTTTTGAAATTAGTACTTCTTCAGGCAAGTAGCACTTTGAATGTTTTTTTTTTTTTTAATTTTTACACCTAATGACAAAAATATTGTCCAATAAAAAGATCTATTGCTATTTAGGAATTAATCAAAATACAAAAAGAAGTGTTCAGCTTCAATGGTAATCTTTTTGTTTTTTAATATGTCATAACTTAGTAAATCCTAAATTCCTAAATCTCAGGACAATGTTTTGAAATCATGTGTAACCATGTTATTCCCTGATGATGGATTGTAAATCTGAAAGTTTGGAGCAAATTAAATAATTTTAACGTGGAAAAAATGAATCTTGCGTATTAACTTAAAGGGACATGGACCACCAGCATCTCTTTCTAGCTTTTGCTCATGTTTGAAAATAAAAATACATCGTAATATAAGCAAAGACGTACTATTTATTACAACAGAATCACTTGAACCATGCAATAAAAACTACAAAGTACTAACTAATAGGCACTATTAGTTCCTAATTGGCCGATAACAAAACGAGCAGGGGCCTGGGACTGAAAATTTTAAAAGTGATACAATCTTAAGAAAATCTGTCGTCGATAGACAAAACACATATAAATTTGCTAAGGTTTAACGTTTAAGCAAGTTTAAGTCATTAGAAATGGGAATAGAATTTTTCAAAAATTTCTAAAGTTAAAGAATGTATGTTTGGCTGGACGCTTGGGCTGGACACCATACATTTCTTTGTAATTTTGACATGGTTTGARTGTCCGTAACTTTATTTCTATACGTTCAAACATCATGAAAATTAATCAGTAAGCTTTTTATATGGTGATCTCTCACATGATGGGGTTATTCTTTCTGGAACCATGATTTAATTAGATTTTGAAGTTCGGCCCCAGTCCCTTTTCCGTTTTGTTTTCAGGCTAGTGTTGGAYTTTACTCTGGAACAGTGTATAGTTTCCAGCGATTTCACTCTGGAACAGGGTCAGGGTTTTGAGGTCCAAGCGGCACACCCCCACCCAAGTTGAGGGGGAGTACCCCCCCCCCCCAACTCGGAAGGGAGCGAATCTTTGAAGTGCTCAAAGACTCTCCAGAGACAATTTTATGCTAATATTACTAAACTTATGTGTGCTTTAATAATCAATTTGAAATTCGGAGAGATTTTTGCGAATCATTTACACTTTTTCAGTTGTTTTGGAATGCATTATATTTATTACGAACATTGATGCAAAATAAAATTCAAAATTGATAAACGGTGTAACTCGTCCTTTGGTAATTTGTTGGGCTACAGGTGGCTTAGGTGTCAACAAATTTGCACGTTAAATACTCGAAAAACTTATTTGAATATTAAAAAGTCTAAAAACGCTTATGTGAAATCGTTCTACTAAGTATATGGATGGAGATACTGTAAGATTCGACTTTTAAACCGATGGATGGAAACGGATTGCGAATGGATATACGAAGTCACCTCATTTTAACCCATACGACCGCATTGAATTCTGATGGACCATGTATCAGCACCCTCTCTCATTGGTTTATTGTACTCATATTTCCCAAAATCCTTTACAAGCTGCAATTACTTAGTTTCTCTGAAAATTAATTTGAGGATATTACATATTTGGCATAAATTCAGTATTAGAAATACTCCAAAGAACAGTGACCTCATCAAATGACTTATAGAGAGGATTCTTACCCGTCATATTTTGGCGTTAACATTCATGCATCTATATTATATTTTCACCAAAAGTCATTTCTCACCAAATACCATAGACAATAGCCCACGAAAATCATCCAAAATGACCGATTTTTTTCACCCAAAACCATGGACTATAGCCCACGAAAAT